TTCCTGAGGACATCCGCGACGTTCGATTGTCGCGGGCCGTTAATTAATTGGTCCCTCCGTTGCGGCCTAGGGACCGGGCACTGCGGCTCTCTTCCGATCTTGGCCGAATTTTTATCTCTTCGACAAATTCGACATCAGCACCGCAGCATTCGCAACATCAGCACCTCCAGTCGCTCCCTCGCCCTACTTCGCTCATTTCGTCGTCTCCCCACATCTGCGTCTCTAGGATTTTTCTTTCCCCAATTCGAGTAAGCGCGGCCGCCGCTGTCCAGCGCTACGCCCATGGTTCTTGCCCGCGTGGCCAACTTTTTCTCGAGTGACTCCACTACGAACCTCGTCGATAATGGGCAGAAGCGCCGTTCGCTCCCAATGGAGAGTGTGGGAGCGCTGTCAAGTCAGGGCGCTGGGCCGGTAGTCGAGGTGGAAGAGGTGGACGAGGAGGCAGCACGGCCACCGTACCTACACGTGAGGCGCACTCACGATAGCCCTCTATGCGACGCCGGCTAACCATGTGATTCTAGGCGATGCTGGCAGGCGGCATTGGAGGCACCACCGGAGACATGCTGATGCATTCGCTGGACACAGTCAAGACCCGCCAGCAGGGCGATCCGCACATGCCTCCCAAATACACATCCATGGGGAACACATACTACACCATATGGCGGCAGGAGGGCATAAGGAAGGGGCTATATGGGGGTGTGCAGCCGGCATTTCTGGGGTCGTTTGCGGGCACAGTGCTATTCTTTGGCGCATACGAATGGAGCAAGCGACAGATGATTGATCTCGGCGTCGCGCCCTCTGTCTCTTACTTCTCTGCTGGTGTGTTTGCGCTGAATCGTCGCGAAATATAGCGGGGTTGCTAATCAAAATAACAGGTCTAATAGCAGATCTTGCCGCCGCACCCGCCTACGTTCCCTCCGAAGTCCTCAAAACACGCCTCCAGCTCCAAGGTCGCCACAACAATCCCCACTTCAACTCCGGTTACAACTACCGCTCCACCATGCACGCCATTCACACCATAGTCCGGACGGAAGGCGCCGGTGCTTTGTATTATGGTTACAAAGCGACCCTCTGGCGCGATCTTCCCTTCTCCGCTCTCCAGTTCGCATTTTACGAGGAGGAAAGAGGGATGGCAAAGCGATATATGGGGTCTAACAGCATTGGATTACCACTAGAAATTCTAACAGCAGCGACCGCGGGAGGCATGGCCGGTGTCATTACGACTCCCTTGGATGTTGTGAAAACCCGCATTCAGACACAGCATAACGATGTCCCATCAGCGTCAACAAAACCCCAGAGCGCAGCTCTCACACCGTCAAAACATACGTCCTCCCCCAAGCCTGGGAAGCCACCTCCCGCGCAGAATCGTCCCATTTCCACTTCCTCGCCCTCTACCACCCTCCGTACCCACGGCGCCGCAACCCTGGACACTTCATCCGTACTAACCGGGCTGAAGATCATATACAAAACAGAAGGAGTCGCAGGATGGTTTAGAGGCGTAGGACCCCGCTTCGTTTGGACATCCGTCCAGTCGGGAACGATGCTTGTTCTGTATCAAACACTACTCCGATGGTTCGAAGACCATCCTCTATCCAGGAGAGGGAACGGAGACTTTGTATAATATGTATAAGATATTCATGGTGGATTGGAGTTATGACGAATAGATGTAGATGCATTAGCGGCGTTTTTTGGGAGGTCCTTGAACGATCGGATCGACACGATACCTGTAGGCTTACTCATAGATCGTTCGAGTTTCTGGAAAATCTCATACTCTTTGCGCTCCTTTTGTGGGAACGGAAATACAAACACATTAGCTCGTATGTACTCCCTTGAGCGGGAAACTTTGCTTGTGCATGTGTAAAATATTTTGAGCTTTAGTTCATGCAGCGCATCAACATAAGAGAACGACGATGAGTCCCATTCCTCCCTCTTCCTCACTCAACAAAATCCTCTTCAAACAACTCTAAAAGCATGCCTCTAAATATCACAAAGAGATCATATGCTTGGGCACTGCTCTTTCGACCTACGAACCGAACCGTCTATGAGTGGCTTGGGCATCTCCCCCCACAATCTTTCTACAATGCAGTATCTAGAAATACATAGTCTGCGTGTGACTTCTCCTTCTCTCAAGCCCGCAAAAGCCACGTTCAATGTGTGAACCCGACTGCTCTTCTTTCAAATTGTCCATGGACCTTGTCATGGCTGAGCGGGGCCTTCCTCCCTCGTTGAAAGCTATGGACACCGATACGTATGGTCATGTGGATGTGGATTCTCTTTCTCTAAAACTGGAATTGGATATTTCATGTATATAGCCAGATTCTTTACACCAAAATTTCCAGGATTCTAGAGCTATGCCTCTACTGAGGTCTCTTGGCTTTTCCTCATGATAATGCCCTGAAAACATGGTCGTGTGGATCTAAGCCATCTTTCTCAAGGAAAAAAGATTGAGGTCATGGTATGTGTGGACTCGACTTCTCGCCTCTAAAATATCCCTCCCTCAATTATCATGCCGGGATTAATGTCTTTGTCACTCTTCTAAAAAAAATGTGAGAGAACGAACACAAGCTAATTTGGATCTCCGAAATGATCCGAACAGTTGGTTCATGCGTGGTGGATCTGCGGATAACGATTCTGAAGGTTTCACGCCCCCAGTCCATGACTGTGTAGAGCCTTCTGTCCTCTTAATCTGAATCTTAATCTGAATTTGAGAATGGAAAATCTATGAAGAAATTGAATGGATAGGTTTACTATACTTCCATGAGCCTAGTTTCATTATTATCATAATTTTCGCCGTTGAGAAAAAGCATGACCACCTTGGACTTTTGCCTATCCTTAGAGAAACAGAACGAAGGGTTCCATTTCGGGTTATGTTCTAGGTTCTTCATCTATAATACTTAGCATCAAGGACCATGCGATTACATTCGATCTCCTGCTCCTAGTCAAAATCATATGGTGGACTTATAATGCTTGTTTGAATCCTCTCATAGGAACATGAAAGTCTCCAAGAGCTCTCTTCTCAAATCAAAGAGGGGTTCATTACATGATTCGATTTGGCTGTAGCTGCTCCTATACGAAAAGAGAAACATGAAATTATTCGTATGGCATTGTGCATCTACTGCACCGGAATCATATGACCTAATAACTTTCTTCAACCGTGAATTGAATGAAATCCCCATATTCCAGTTCGATGCTTCCGCCGGAGTGATTTTTTACTGGGCCAGATTAGAGCCTCGATTAGCGTGAGCTGATTGATCCTTTGAGACTAACATAAAATTTCCTACACGACGCGTTAATTTACATCCTTCTTTTTAATGTTACATAACCCCCCGTATGGCTGGCCGTTCGTTGTTGCCATGGATTTAATATACGTCTAGGCGATGGCGGTGTTGGCGAAGAACCATCCTTTCTTCCAAGGCACATAAATATCACTTTATGGCTCCTCCATCCGAAATCTTCAAGACCTTGACCCATGGCCGGCGGTGTTCCTCGCCTCGACCAAAGCATCCTAATTCCATAATATCCACGTAGACTTGTCTTCTTTGCTTAAAGTCACTATAAGCTTGAAATCGTGTAACTCCTAAAAGCATGGATCTCCATCTCGACGTTGATTGAGTACAGCATGCTTCAAAGTGTTCTAGTTTCAACTCATGACTCGCCGTCCTTCTTCGGCGCTTTTTATACTCACAATACCTGATACCTATCTCCATGGCCGGCGTGTGGCTGTTTAAGGTTCTGCGGATTCATGTTGTGTCGTTCGTCTAGGTCTGCAGAAGCATTTTAGACGGCAATATATGCTAGTACTCAGAATTTACGGAAGAACTTGCTATATTTTCAGAACATCACTCTCATAGCTCAGTACTCGAAGGAACACTTTCCATGTCCGTACATAAAGGCCCTCCTGCCTTCAGAAGGACGTTTTAGCACGTTTTATGCACACGAGTACACATCCCTCGCTCTAAAATTCTCTTTGGCTGAGATCTACGTCCGCGCGTCTTTTCTCGTTGATATCTCTAGAAGCCTGCTAGATACGTTTTGGGGTTGGTATTGAGTCTAATTGCTCCCTTAGAAACACTTATGTTTCACCACATTTGCATGCTACTAAGGCATAAATATAGGACCGTAATACGCTATATGTAGAGACCATCTAGTACTCTGAAAATACAGTACAAACGCTTAATGACTTGATGTGTCTTCTTGTCTTTCACAACAAAAGTACTTCTGTCCAGCCTTATGTTTGGCTATTGAGTCGAGCAAAATCCTTTGCCCCGAACACCTAAAAACCAACCATGGGGACAGCTAATGAGATTCCCATGAGTCACGCTCAAGATTGTGGCTGGACCTAGTCATGCCGCTGAGCTCGATTTTCTCTGAATTGCCAGTGGTATTTCTGGGTCTCCAAAATTGCACGCCTTCGACATATATTCGGCACTTGGACAGAGTTAAAAAAGAGATGGAGGTTGCATTCATGTCTTTGTCATTAGCAATGTTACTTAAAACTGTAGCCAAGATTCTAAACGCGGACTACGATAATGGCGAAAATTCCTCGTTTCAGAAGTACTCTAAGATCAAGTTTATGGCTTGGGTGTTCTTTGCATATAGAAAAGATCTCGCCGATAAACTAAAAATCCTGGACCTAAACGTAATGCTAGGAATACGTTCTTCATGACTTCTTCAAGGCCACTCTTCTACTTAGCCCGGCTTTGGGGTTGTCAACAATCCGATGACACGTTTGTTTCTTAATCTAAAAGAAAGTGCCGCATAATTCTCCAGTACTCTCTACAGGCGAGATGATGAGATTCGAGTTCGATAGAATATCCGTAAAAATATCACCGTTTTCTGGAGGTAGAAACCTGCCACCAAACTACTTGTTAATGATGGGGTCAAAATACCTATGCCTTTGTGTTTCTTTAGTTATTCTCCAAATTTACTCTGCCTTGGATCTTCAAAGTGGAAGTTCAGAGCTAATTAAATATTGCACAAACAAAAAAGTAAAAAGAAATCTCTCTCTACGAGAATCGAACTCGTGTCTCCGGCGTGACAAGCCGACATACTTACCACTATACTAAGAGAGACTATCTGCTTTTTTTATTATATGCTTTCTCTATAGTAGTTGATATATATATATTGCTTTACTTTACTAGATAGATAAGGAGAAAGGAACAGAAGGAACAGTCATGTGCAAAAAAGAAAATGGTGAAAGTGGCGGTGAGAGTTGTTTGTCGTTCACTCACAATACGGTGAGTCAAACATTAGTGAAGGAAGTTTTTCAGGGCAAAATGGAGATTAGATAGTATCTGAAAGCTATTGGAAAGACGATTAAGTTTAGAGAGAAAGATCACATGCGACGAACTTTAATCACGTACTTCATATCTTGGAAGCAGACATCGGCCACTAACACACCCTTTACAAATAGCTGTTCTCAATACTTCTAGGACTGAGGCCTCGTTTTCTTCTTTTTCTCAAAAATTTCAAAAGTTCACTTTCTGAAGCGCGCGGATCTTCTCGAAATGGAACAACTTAGAATCAGATTGTGTACGCAGAGCTGATGAATGCTCCATGTATTTATAATACTAAACCATACTTTAGAACTATGATAGTTGTTGTTTTTGCTCTGAAGGTCAATTTGCGTCATGATATGGATTGGGGACTTGGCTCAAAAGAACAGGGTTCGTGGACGGTGTTATCAACAGAGCATCTATAATGTGTTCATGGTTTGAAAAACATCTTTAAAAAGCTATATAGCTAGGCTTCATTTTCTGTTCCAAATTTCCATTGTTTTACGTTGCCCCGGAATCAATTGAAAACAGTACACGCTAGGAAAATGCTCTGGAAGTCAGAGTCTTCAAAATTGACGTCGACATCATGATGAACAGCATCCTGAGATCTTCCTTAATAGATACTCAACTAGTTGCGTCGCTTAAATATGTCTCCTTCCAGAAAATAATGAAGCCACGACCCATGTTAGGTATTGCGGATCTAGTCAAAAGGACTCAAATAAGGCTTGATGCCCCGAACGTTGGCTCGAGGTCAAATTACAACGCTGGTACTCTAATGGTGGCTTTCTGTGTCATTTTGAAAAGACTCGTAATTATTATGTCTAGAAGTTTTGTTGGGAACTCTTAAATATAGTATATTAGCAAACTAGCAAAAAGTTAAGTAAAGAAAAAACGAAAATTGAAATCTACAAAACTAAACTTAAAACAACTAATTGAACTTGTGCAACATCAACGTAGGAACAAACTCATCGCGTGACCAAGGCGCCTGGGGTAAATGGTAGTTACAGTAGCTTGGGAAGCTATCGTTCGGTTAAGCACAGCTTGAAAAGAAGGGCTTCTCTCCTCCAGATCCTATGTATTACGATATTTCTAGATGTTATTTTGAAAAGTGGGGCCATCGGGATCCGTTTGTCCAGTAAGATCCCGAATTTGTTCATGTACATATGTACAGCGTGTCTCACTTCGTAGAAATGTCAATCCTGAATGAGTCTGGTATCATCAGATAATGGTAGTTGCTGCCTAGTTGTCGCTGGACGCATGACGATCTCACAAACGAGAGGCAAAAGGTGCTATATTAGTTTCCGGCAATAAATTCCGTGTAGAAAGTGCAGCACTGATTTAATATCAACAATATCCCTGCGGCCTTGTTATCACTCCTGATCTACGTTGTTAAGAACTCCCAACTTTGAGGCGGTGAGTCCGGATCGTGGGTAAGCTGGAATTCGACGCGTGACAATACCCTCAACGTATCCTGTGTAACGCCGAACAACATCATCAAAGCGCGTCTCAATTCTCTTCGACCCTCTCCGATCTTGCGGTCCCTCAAAAAGTCGCCCAGGATGTCGTACACCATACATCAAGCGCACACGAAAACGGAATTCGATGAGATTACCGACGTCATGTGGCGCACCATGGACGGAGCCGACCCTTCACACGGAATCTTCTTTCCAACCTTTGGCGACGGTCCTGATGCGAAGGCAGCAGCTATCGCGGAATCCAAGGAGCGTATCTGGAATCAATATAAATATAACCCAGCAAGCCATTGGATCTACGTGCGCGAACAGAGCACAGGGAAAGTAGTGGCGAGCTGTCAATGGCGAGTGTACGACGAAAATCTTTTTCAAAAGGGCCCGCCGACCATTGTGGCAGTTTGGTGGCCAGAGGGTAGTGTAGGGAGAAAGTTTGCATCTGAAGTTGTGAACCAGTGTTATACACCGCGGACGCGGTGGATGGCGAGACCTCATCTAGGTATGCATACACCTTTCTCCTGATTTTATTTATTTTTGCATGTGCTTTCAACAATAACTCTTATCGCTTCTTTGACTATCAGCCCAGTCAGAGAAGATGTTTTTGGTCCAGTTCCCTCGTGCATCACAATGACCAAATGCTCCACGGTCATTCTGCCTTTGATGCGAACATAATGCTAACATCAAGTAGGTCTCAGCCAGATGTGCGTCCTCCCAAGCCACCAAAGACGTGGAATTGGAAGTATGCTGATGCACTGGGGGCTCGAGCATACGGATCAACAAGGTATTGAGAGTTTTATCGAGGCGACCGAAGCAGGCCGATATTTGTACGAGAAGTTTGGGTATCGCGCAGTGAAGAGTGTGCATGTGGATATGAGCCGCGTCAACGTTGAAGATGAGGAATTGGAGGAGTGGAAGGAGCTTGAGCGGAAGTTCTTGCCATTGGGCTATACCGCTCTCTGGAGACCAATTCGGGGCGTGCAAGACGAAGATGAGTTCAAGAGGACTTGGAGTAAACGAATGAGCTTATAAAGATAGTAATATTTCAAGTAAGAGTACTATGCTAATTTCTAATATATTTCTAGCATATTTCAGCGAATAGTATTTATGAGAGCATATATCTTAAAAAGAAGTCTAGTGTGAAGTCAATCATGTCAAAAAAGAACAAGTCGGGATATTATATATCTAGTCGTTCTCCTGTTTCCTAATAAAAAGAGACATTGTATAGGATATGAAATACATAATTACTGGTAGCTGAAAATTAACCTCCCATAACCTACACCTGCTTCGTAATCTCATCCCCCTCGTGTCCCTCTACCAACTTATCCACCTCACCAACTCTCTGCTTCAAACGAAACGAATCATACAAACCCCTAAACATCGACGCCCGTTGTAGAAGTTCCCTCGGACCTTCAAACTCGACAATCTCCCCTTTCTCCATCACCGCAACACGATCAAAGTCCAGAATAGTATCTAAACGATGCGCCACATAAATGATCGTATGATGGCGGAACTCCTCCCGAATAGCCTTTTGGACGATTTTGTCGGTTTCGTGGTCGATGCTGTAGCGTTTATACGTCAGCCAAATCTCAATCGATTCAAAGAGCGCGTAGGATTAGCAAAGCGAGTTCAACATACCTGCTAGTAGCCTCATCCATAACCAGCACCCGCCCTCCCCTCCTCAATATCGCCCCTGCAATGTTGAACAACTGTCTCTGCCCTAGACTCAGTTTACATGCTTCCATATCTATGTCCAATCCACCCTTCACCTCAATAACGTCGAAAATCTGCGCCTTCTTCAACGCGACAGTAATCTCCTCGTCCGTGGAAACCCCATATGGATCGGCGTTCTGACGAACGGTTCCGGGCATGATGAACGGAGTATCTGTCATTACAACCAACTGTTTGCGAACGCTTTCACGGGTAAGAGTCGAGATATCGCGGCCGTCGATTGTGATTTGGCCGTCACAGAGGTCCAGCATGCGGAAAAGGGTGAGAATTAGAGAGCTTTTACCGCTTCCTGTTCTCCCACAGATGCCAATCTTTTCTCCGGGCTTGATGGTCAGGGTGATGTTAGTGAGTGCTGTCGCGACTTCCGCTTCCCTGTACCGGGCAGAGGCGTTTGTGATCTTGACTTCGCCCTTACTCGGCCATTCCGGTGACGGTTCCACCTCATCGGGATTCTCCTCAGATGGGGTATCAGACGCAAAAGATCTGATCCTTGCTACGGCACCAATCGAAGTCTCCATCTGCGTCCAGAACATGACCATCAATTTGAGGTATGACGAGAACGAAATGATCTGCGTCAGCGAGACACCCGTGAATCCAGGAGAGATGGTATCGCGAAGCCCGACCGAAACACCGACCACCATTACGGCCAGAGCCGTAATGATGAGATCTAGAACGAGGGAGAGCCAGCGCTGAATGGTGTACATTAGATAGAAAGGCTTTTGCGAGCGATCTACAAGGATATTACTGTGGGTTATGGTAGAACGTGTCCATGAGAACGCGCGGATGGTTGCGAGGCCCTCGAGCGTCTCAGTGAAATGCGTGTACAGTGGGGCTTTCTCTTCGATGTCGAGAAGTCTCATCTGCCGTGATGTTCGTAGGTAATATTTTTGTACGAAATAGAATATGATGAACAAGGCCGGGAAGCTCAGAATAAGCCAGGCGGATGCTGATGCTATGAGACCTATCTGCGCCATGCAGATCAGAGCATTGCTGACCACGACTTGCAAAGCCAAAGGTAACGACATATCGAGCAGCTGGACGTCTTGGCTGAACCTCGTCAATGTAGTCCCGGTATCTGTTGTACTGAAGAAAGTGAGAGGGGCTGTTATAACCGTCTTGACGATGATCTGGTGAAGCTTCAGGCCAGTTTCAGCGGCCATGACATGAAATGACCACCATGTAACTAAGCCAGAGGAAATGAGAGCCGCGACTTGAAATGTAGCATACACGCCGATGTAAAGAGCGTTTTTCTCGTTAGGAGTTCCTGTGTTTGCATCTGTCCACCACTTCAACCAGACGGTGGGAAAGGTTGTTAAAAAGGCGTAACAGACTTGGAAGATGAGGAATGTAATTCCGATCTTCCAGCTAAGACAGGAAAAGTAGTATCGGTAAACGGTGAAGTCACCGGTCTGGCGGGTTTTGTCCAGGGTTACGTCGTTTTGATCGGATTTCTCATTCTCATGGTGATAAGATGAGACTTCTTGTTCTAGGGTAGAGACGCCATTATCGAGGCTTATTGAGTCTTCATCGACTATATCTGAACCGGAGGAAATATGTCCAACCGCCACGGCCAGATTGGAAAACAAGCCTTGTTCTGCG